AGACACTCATTATTCGCTCGTGCCTAATAACACTCGTAACTAAAATGGCGTTTATAAAACTTGATACATAATATACCTACTATTTTCATTATAAGTTATATCTATTAATTTTACTTTATGCATAACACATGTGGTAAACTATATTACCTATAGGTAGGGTGAATCGCCCAGTTGTCGGCCACTTAACTGAATTTTCACATTAAATTGACGTTTAAAAAGAACTGGTTTCTTTAATTACATTTTGGATTATTTCATCTTATAGCCTTTAGTAAACTAAATTAAAATATTTCATTCAAAAATGTGAAATGTATCAATTTTTTTATTTTGGTAAATAAAATGTAAATAATGGACCTTTTACTAGTTCTCGGCCACTTGATTATTTTCTCGGTCATCAATATGCCAGTTCTTGGACGGGTGGCCGAAAAAAACCATTTTTCGACCCTGCTATTGAAAAATTCAAACAAAAGTAGAAAATAATTAAAAATTATAGGAAAATAATAACTTTATATTATTAAAAAAGGTCTACAAAAAAAATAACAATACAAAAATAAACCAAGATAGGTACCTACTTGAAACAAATACAAATAAAAAACTTTAAAACTTAACAAATATGGCAGGTACATATTCTTAAAAGCAATACTTGCTAGGTAGGTAAATGTTTTTAATGCTTAAAATTTATTTGCAGGAACTACATATAAAATCTTTAGTTGAAGCTTCATTATAGGGTAAATGAGATAGCTTAGTACAATTGCACAAATGAAACCACTTGGGGCATTTATCACAACCCAAGTTTTTCAAGGAATCATCTTCTGTATCGCTTATTAATTCATCTTCGCAAAGAGAACACATCAGTTTGGATTTCTTAGCTTCATTTTTTTTTTACTTATTTTTTTTTGCATTTTTTGTGCTCTGTTTCTCCAGTCTTTCATCTTTTTTCTTCTGCTGAGCTTCTAGTTTGTTTATTTTTTCTTGTTCTTGCTTTATGATATGTTTTCTCCAAGCTTGGGATGAGATAGCACTTGGCAGTTTTTCTTTCTTTCCATTTTCTGAGCCTTTTATCCGGAAATCTGAGATGACGAGAAAATGGGCTTAACACTTCTTCCACCTCCACAGTTTTTATAGGGGTCTTTTTTTTAGGCCATTCAGGTGTTAAGTCATTACTTTCAGCTTGTAGCATTTTTAATGGCGATTTTTCTTTGTTTTTAATTTCTTCCGCCAATTCCATTTTACTACTTTTTTTCGAGCTTTCTTCTTTTTCTTTCTTCTTAAAAATTGTCCCTTCTTTTTTACTATCTTGTCCCTCTTTTTCTGTTGCTTGCTCCAAGTTATCACTTATTGCTTTAATTTTCTCCGTAGTGTCTGGTTCAATATTTTCTTTTTCTTCTTTAGATTTCTCTTACAGATTGTAGTGCTAGCTTAAGGTTTTCTTCTGAGTAGCTGAATAACTTTCTTGCCTGCTTCGACACATTTAATTTTTGGTCTTTCTTAATGCTGGCCATCTGAAAAAAAAACAGTTGGGTATACGTAAACAGTTTTTAGGATTCTTAAATTAGTTTTTAAAAAACATGTAGATAGGTACCTACAAGACAATAATAGTAAAAAAGAAAATTAAACCTTCAGGAGTTAAGGTACTGGCCGAGAAACGGCCAAAATACCTTTTCTCGGCCGCTCTTTTAAGCCTTTTTACATGGTGCGTTTTTGTAGATAGGCCGGCCGGCCGGCCGAACTGGCTATTTTATAGTAGTAACTGTTTTAAATACACCAAAAAACGAGATACCCCCAATTGCGAAACAGTATATTAGAAAAAGAAGGAGAATACACTACTTTTAAGACCGGTTCTCGGCCACCCCGGGCGAGAAAGGGATTGGACGTTTTAATTAATCCAGTTTACCGGCCACCCAAAAAAACACTTAAAATCTATAATTTGTCATTTTTTTCAAATATAATAAAAATAGTTGAACATATTATTTATCTAAAATCATAAGAACTTACCTTTAAAACCAGTATTTCACAAAATATTCACTATTTCACTATGGGATGCACACTACGAAAATTTTAGTAAACAGCCATGCACAAACCTTCCATGAGCAACAACTTTTAACGGACGTTTCTTCGTCTTACCAAAGCTTGAAAAATGGCGCTTAGTTCAAAGTGGTGGGGATAAGAAGTCTGAAGTTAGGAGTATTTAAAAACCGCGGGAGCCGTCAAAAGCTTAAATAATTTATTTACTATATTCTCGAAAAATGGCCGAGAACTAGTGATGGCCGGCTAACTGGGCGATTCACCCTATATATGTAAATATATACTATTATAAATTTAAATTTTTACGTTAAGAAAAAGAGAACAAACATTAAGTAATTTTAACGTAATTTTTACGTAAATATGTGGTATTTAATTTGGTTTTATGACGGTATTCTTTTGGTCGCTTGGATAGTATTTTGTGGTTAAAATAAAGTATTATTACCCATATTTGTTGATTTTTAATATTTGTCCCATTATTTTACCGTGTTCGTTTACTGTAAAAATAAACATGTAGTTATTTTAACTTAAAATGTTGGTTATTAAAAGGAAATAAAAGGCATACCAAATGGTTTTAAATAATCTAATATATTTAAATAAAATGTACTTTTTTATCTTATAGCATTTTACATAATACTTCATAAAATAAAATGTTTTAATTCAAAAAGTTTTAAAACGTGTTTTCTCTATGCGTGGTTCAAAAATAGTATAATCGTTTTGGGCCATAATAACGATCATTATAGTTTTTTGAAATAGCTTTTGTCACACATTTTTAGGGGAGAAAATACATGGAATTAAGTGAGCGGAATCTAGGACATTTTTTAGGTGACAATTTTAAACTTTCACGCAATCTGTCGCGATCATTATTTTTTTTGTTAAAAACATTTTTATTAATATGCAGTTATGACAAACGAAATATTACGACCAGAATTTTAAGTTGTTTGGTATCGGTGACGTCCGAGTAAATAAAATCAAACTATACCTTAAGTTAAAAAATGCGCGCTAATGTTCGTAATCTTATTCATTGATAAAGTTGCGACCACATCGTCAGTATAACAATAAGTAAAAATAACAAAATAAAGGCTAGCGTTAAAGTAAAGTGTAGGTTAAAAATTAAAAAAATTAAAACTGTGATAATAAACTAAACGGTAAGGTATTATTTTCGATTTGCTTGTTTTGTATTAAATATAGGATCTTAAAATAATTCAAACGTGCAAATTATTTGGTCACGCGTTTTATAGACTAATTCAAGCAATTAAAATTGCGACGAAAATAGCATACCAATTGGAGTCAAGTCGAATAAATCAGGTGACCAAAAACTGATAAATTAGTAAACGTTTAGTTATAGGGGGTGATGTGGTCAAACAGGTAAAAATTGCGTGACCAGGGGTGCAGTGAAGATATCAAATTAATATTATTGGGCAAATATACACATGCACAAAAAACACCCCCTAATTGTGAAATCGACCAAATGAGTAGCGTGTTTTATTTTTCAATTTAATAATATGACAAAACCAGTTGACATTGATATTTTAAAAGTTGACATTTTAGCTGTAAAGTTTAACAACATTTTATAATGAATTATTAGTTTATATTTCAAATAAAAATATCCAGAAATTAATATTTTAAGATTTTTTTAGGGTTAAACAAAATTCCTAGGAACCGGGCAAATATAAATTTTATGGTGATTATTTTTTGTCATCCCCCAAGCAAAATATTGATGTTTACATCAAGAAGTAAATACCCTTAAAGTTTCAGCTCTTAATCTTACTCCTAAATACTTTTATTTTGATTTTAAAGTTTTCCTATTGAAATAACACAGGAGATTAAGAATTTTTTTTCAATTTTCCATAGCTTGGCGGTATTTTACGCTACTTCAATATACATACATAGGTGCGATTTGTACATAATTAGATGCTCTTCAAAAGTACTTGCAACAATTTTTATAGAATTTTTAATAAAAAATAGTATTTTTTGCTTTTTACGGTAAAACGGTTAAAAATAGGTGTTTATGTAAAATTTAATTTCAACATAGGACTAATTAGATAATTATCGATATTTGACACTAAAATTTATTAAATGCTTTATATCTTTTAAAGTATGTATTTTATTGCATTACCCCATAAAACATTTTTTTCAATAAATTGAATTTTTCATAAAATTTTGTTTACTTTTTACCTGTAACTTAAACCATTTTGCCGTAAAACAACAATTTATCAATATTTGACAGTAAAATTTATTAAAATCCTTATATCTTTTAAAGTATGGCTTTTATTGCATAAACCCATATAAAATTTATTTTAAGAAATTGAATTTTTTATAAAAGTTTTGTTTACTTTTTACCTGTAACCGTTTTTCCGTAAAACAACATAGGACTTGTTAGTTTATCAATTTTTGACACTAAAATTTATTAAATGCTGTATGTCTTTTAAAATATACATTTTATTGCATTATTACATTGGACCTTTTTTATGTAAAATTGAATTTCCTATAAAAAGCTTTTTAAATCTTTACCTGTAATCTCAACCGTTTTGCCGTAAAATACAAAAATACTGTTTTGTATTAAAAATATGACTTCGATGACCTATGCAGGTTGTAGTAAAATTATGTAAATTGTTGTAACATAAAATATCGCCAAACTATAGGAAATTGTAAAAAAAATTCTTAATTTCCTGTTATTACAATGGAAAACTTTAAAATCAAAACAAAAGTACTTAGAACTAAGATTAAGGGCTGAAACTTCAAATGTAGGTACATCAATATTTTGCTTGGGAAGTGACAAAAAATGTTCCTTCAAAACGAATCACCCCAATAAATATTCACAAAACAAACTAGAAATCGAGCAAATGGATAGTGTATTTAATTATATCTAATTTGCAGCCGTGTTATGTCGACGCATACAATGCACACTAAATTATTAAACACTTTATATTGCATTTCGGTGTCGACAAGCTAACAGACATGAATAATTCCGATTTCAGATGATATCCGATGGAAAGTTTCCTCCGCAAATGAGTAAAAGCTGCAAAGTGAGAGCTCTATTGGCCTATTGGATTTTAGGTCTTTGCAATAACTATGGATACGTTGTTATGCTTACGGCAGCGCACGATATTATCAATGGATACTTGCCAAATACTACAGAAGACCATTCTAACAACGCAAGGAACTGCACGCTTATGTCCACCGGCGCTATTTTGCTAGCCGATGTAGTCCCAGCTTTAATTGTTAAGTTTTTGGCACCTTTTCTACCATTTTTCGTTCAGTAAGTACCCAAGTAGCTCAACTGGTTAAATAACTAAGTAAATTAACCAAAATCTAAGTAAAATAACGTTTTTTAACCAATTACTTGTAAATAACCCTTTAAATTTACCAACCGGTTGCTATAACCATAAGGTAAATTCAAAGGTTATTTTTTAGTATACCTACATAGATAAATTAAGGTTATTTTAAGAGATTAAATTGACTATTAAAAAACCAAATATTTAACTAGTTAACGTTTTATTAACTTCTAATTTTAACCTTTGAAAATGGTTAAACTAGTTATTTTTTTAGATATATTTTGGTTCAGTTTAAGTTTTGATATAACTTTTTGGTAAATTAACCACAGCTTTGGTTAATTTAGATATATTTTTTAACCAACAAGTTATATTTTACCAAATATATTTTAACTCACTGGTAAATTAACGTTAATTAATAAACTGGTTAAAAAAGTGATGGTTTTGCAGTTTTCATTGTTACCTGCATAAAAATTTGGCTTTATAAATAAACCTATAGGTTGATAGTTTTGTGTGATAATGGAGCCTAAAAGAAAAAATTTAAAAAATATAAACTGTTTTCACTTAACATACTAAAATTAAAGCGTAAGATCGGGGAGAATTTTTTTTAGTTATCTTAAAAATAAGAAACTAGTTTAATTTAAGTAATTTTGATAATTATTAACTATAATGTGTTACATTAACCGAATTTAAACCAAAAGCAAAGAGTTATACATTACTGATAGGTAAATTAAACACAATAAAATAATCAAATGTTATATAACCAATAAGTTAACTTAATTTTTTTAATTAAAGCATCCTAAAATCGCCATTCTAACAAAAAAAGTCATTAATTTTAATAATTTGTTTTACTCCAAAAATAAAGTAATTTAAATAAACCAATAATATTTTATGTTTAAAAGTATTATTTTAAACCAATTTTAAACGAAATAAAGAAAAAATAGGCAAAATAAATATTTTTTAATTTTATATTATATTTTCTTGTATATTCTGTATATTATACATATATCAATTAATATCTTAATTTTTTTTTCTTCTGATGAAAGTACCTACATACTTCCATATTTTAATTGCGCGTTGAAAAAAAATGAGAAATTAAGAAAATATAATATAAAATAAAAAAATATTGCATATACATACATTTTATTTGAAGGATCTGTAAGTCATATCCATAGATATACCATTATACCGAAATAATTATTTCGGTATCTGGGTTGCCTAACTTCTTACGCCTTAGTCAGTCTTAATCATGATATAAGAGTATCATGGTTGTAATTGTTTAAACTGTTTGTTTTTTGCCATGTTTTTTTGTGGTATTTACTTTAATACATTTTAATTCGTTTTGCAAGTTTAGTTTCGGTAGGTAAGCTAAAGTGTTAAAACCTATGAAGTGGTACAAATATTAACAACCTTAATACCTAATTAGAATTTCCGGTTCAAGTATTTTGAGCCAAATTAGCTATTGCTGAATTTTATTGTTATTTTATATATAATATATATTTGATATAATTTTCAGGTACCTACGTAAGACTAAAAATAGTTTAAATTTTTTTGCTTGAGACGTATCCTGTAACAATTGGAGAAATAAGTGTTTCTTTTTTTCGTACTATAATAGTTTTATAGAGTTAAACCCAGCGCCGTAGCTACAATGGTTCCGTGGGTTCGGTGGAACCAGGCCCGATAGCTCAAGGGGCCCGCGGCCAGCGATTGGAATAAAAAATTTTTTCTTCAAATATTTGGATTAATTTTTTTAAATATATTTCAACATTCACAGGGCATTTATTTATAATAATGGCTTAAGGCTTAGTAAATAGTAAAAGACCACCAATAATAATAATAATAATAATAATAATAATAATTTTTGCTTGAATCATGTAAAAGCGAGTCAAAATTAAAACTTAAAAAACCATCAACAACCCGTTGGTCTTCACGCAATGATGCAATAAAGCCCTACGTTTTAGGTATCTTAATGTTCTTAAGGCCTTGTCAAAAATTATTTTAACATCTAATAATAAGGTTGAAATAGACGACTCGAAAGGATTTAAAAGTACATTGGAGGACTTTGAAACAGTGTTTTTGATTATTTTACAATCTAACGTTTTAAATCACATACATGTATATAGACACAGTCTATACAGTGCTGTACAGTACAGTCTGTACAGTGCTTGCAATATCAAGTCCGACCACGCTGGAAAGGACGGCTGTTCAATACCCGCGTGAAAAGAACAAGGATAGAACGCCAAATAGAATTTGATTGGCCAGAGCCGGCTGCCGGATGCGTGCGAATTGTAAGCGAAGTCAACTCTGGCAGCCAGTCTGGCTGGATTTAGACTAAATGATTTAGTGTTAAGCAAACTGCGTTAGAGACTCTAACTTAGAGTGTAGATGCACATTTTAATTTTCTTTTTAAATATTTTATACCCGAATCCAAAAAATAAATTTTTTTGATTTTTTCCTTGAGAACTAGGGCAACAACAAAAATAGTATTCTTAATAAAAAATATTTCTCAAATAAAAAATAATTCTGAATAAAAATAACTATAAATAATAAAAATAAAACTCTAAAAATAAAATAAAACTCTAAAAATAAAATAATAAAAATAAATAAACTCAAAAATTAAATTAAATGTTCGAACAAGCCCCCATAGGCAGCCAAACAATAGCCTAACCTATTATAAAAATTCCCACGCACATTAGCTAGGACTTCTGGACTAATATCCCCCAACAAATTGATTATGCGGATTCCTAAATCATTGAGGTTATTAGCCCGATCTTCCTGGAAAACGTACAGCTTCGACTTGAGGTACCCCCACAAAAATCTTTGAATTTCTCGTTCAGAATTACCAGCAAAATGCCAGATTAAAATCTGAACTTTTTGTTCCAACGTGTACATTTTTTAATTAAATAATCTTTTTTACTAAAATTACTACCTCTTGCTGGCACCACTGCAGTTCTCGTTCTGATATCCTCGTGTCAAGCACGCTGCGAGGTGCGAATTCTATTTGGCGTTCTGTCCTTGTTCTTTTCACGCGGGTATTGAACAGCCGTCCTTTCCAGTGCGGTCGGACTTGATATTGCAAGCACTGTAGACACAGTATCAAAACTCTTACAAAATCAGCAGCAAGATATCCAAAAATCTAGTAAACTTTTAAAAAATGTGTTAAATGACATAAGCAAACTTCGGAATGAATTTTTAGATATAAAAAAGAGGCCAATATTACATCAAGCAAATGGGGTATAATTCCGAATTTTGCCAAAAACGTATTTGCAAACGTTTTTTTGATAAAGTTGCAAATGACTTTGTTTTTTAAACTGCTGAAGATACTTTTAGAGTTGAAGTTTTTTTTAAGACCCTAGATATTATATCAGACAGTTACAGCCACTAACTTCAGTATTTTGGAAACAGAAGTTCTGTTAAATTCTACTGATACAGAAGTATACCAAATGGCAGAAAACATTCGTGAAATATATGAAGATGATATTTTAGACTTCCCTATCAATTAATAGCTTTTCAAAAATGTTTTTCTGACGAACTAAAAATTATTAAGTAAGTAAAGAATTTGCTAAACACTATGTTTTCTATACCTTACAATTCCTGTGACGGTTGCATCGGCAGAACGATCGTTCTCAAAACTTAAGTTAATAAAAACGTATTTAAGGAACTCCATGGGTCTATATCGATTATCGTCTTTGGCAATGATCTTCATTAAAAATACAGTTGCCCGCTCCATAGATTTTCAAGGAATTATTACAAAATTTTCCGCTGCTAAATCTAGGAAAGTAGCTTTTTAATGGACACACTTTTATTTTTTATGCCTTTAAGGGGGTATAAAGGTTGTTATGTTCCTCCCAAATATAACATAAAAAATATTAATTAGTACAAAATAAAAAAATACACCTAGAGGCCCGTGGGTATAGCCTGGAACCCGGGCCCGTTGGGTTGTTGCTACGGCGCTGGTTAAACCGGTTAATTATAAGATGACTTAAGAGTTAGAAAGTAGTTAAAAAAGGGTAAAATAAACCAAAACTACCAAATATTAACTTCTTTTTAACCAAAAGGTACATTAAACAAGAAGTTAACATGACGTTAATTTTACCATAATTGAATTCCCCACTTATTACAAAATATCCTTAATTTAAGCAATTGTAGTACAATATTACTTAAATGAATTAACCAGGCATAACGTTAATTTAACCAGTCGTGCTACTTGGGTACACAAGCCATAATATAAACAAATAAGACATGCTTTTTTTTAGTATAAGGGTAGCTATTTGCGTTATTTTTGCTATTGGAGGGTTTTTGCTAGTATCACTTAGCAATACCATGATCCTAGCTCTATTAGGTGTGATTCTTACATCCTTTGTCAACGGTTTAGGAGAAGTTACTTTTCTACAGTATAGCTCGTTTTACGACAAGTAAGATTTGATGTGGGGTGTCAAACAAGAAGTATACACTAAATATATTTTAGAAATGTTGTATCATCCTGGAGCTCGGGGACTGGAGGTGCCGGTGTTATAGGATCAATCTCATATTCGGCGTTGCATATTATAGGGATGAGATTAGCTTTACAAATAATGTTAATTGTTCCGATAGCAATGGCTCTTGCGTATGTCCACTTAAGGGTGTTTCAAAAAAGAATATATCGATATAACATAAAAAACTCATAATTTCAATGGCCCCTCCTAGCCAATTTTGTGATTTTACCCTCATTGGCTGTCTTAACAATTAAATAACTCCTGCATTTCTTCGAATTCGACATCGAAAAAAATGATATCACCTTTTTGAAACACTTGAGGTGTTTATTTATTAAATAAGCTAAATTGTAATTTTAGTTTTTGGTGGCTTCTCCCTAAACCTATGGGCTTGCTGGATGTGCAGAAACAAGTGAATGCCAATGATTTGGAAAATCCCAAAGAGGCGCTGAAATACAAATTAAGATTGATACCTGGTTTGCTAAAGTATATTATACCATTCAGTTTGGTTTATTTGTTTGAATATTTCATCAATCAAGGAACGTTTGAATTGGTCAATTTTCCCGATACTTTTGTAGATCAAAAGGGTCAGTACAGATGGCTTCAAGTTTGCTATCAGGTCGGAGTGTTGATATCCAGATCCTCCGTCAATTTATTTCACATAAGACAAATATGGGTCCTAGCTGTCTTGCAGTTTTTAAACGTTATTATATATACTACAGAAGTTATATATTTTTATATTCCCAGTTTTTATGTCATGATATTCCTGACTATTTGGGAAGGATTGCTGGGTGGATCTGCCTATGTTAATACGTATTATACAATATCAATGGAAGTGCCAGAAGAAGATAAACAATTTTCAATGGCTATTACTGGCTTCGGGGACAGTATCGGCATTAGTTTGGCAGGCCTTTTTGCGATGTGGTTTCACAATAAAATATGCGATTTACCCCTGCCATAGTTAATATTTGTATTTTTCTAGTAGGTGTTTTGTAATAACATGTCTGTAATTTTAGCATTTTTTATTTGAATTTGCTGACGATAATATTAAATGTGTTTTCCTAAATTTTTGAGTAATATTATTAGTATGAGCCATTCTTAACAATAATTGAGGCGCACAATATATTCACATAAACAGGACTGTCTCACCTTAGGTAAAAAAATGCGACTACCCCACTTGAAATATCCGATTAACATCATTGCAATACAAAATATTAATAGATTTTTATTATTTTGAATTGTGTTTTGGAACCTATTGGTTTGAAACGGTTACAGTAATATTGAATCGGAAATTTCAATAAAAAATATTTAAATTATTTTGAATCCGAACTAAGTTTTTTGTTTTAACCGGTCTGAATCGGAGAATATTGCACTGAGATTTCAATCGGTTTTCATCCAATTGAAATCTTAATTCAATAGTGTCGAAATTCAAAATTGCGCCAAGTACCCTATGGACAAAAATCTGAAAACAGAAATAAAAAATTTAAGTCTTTGGTAATAACTTGTTTAAAATTCCAGAAATTTAATTAACTAAAAATATCTATTTTTAAGACAATTACAGAAATTTAATTACCAAAATATTTAATTCTAATAATTTTATTATTTGAAACCTACGGCAAATGGAATAGTAACAAAGTGTTAAAGCAGATCCTGTAAATCAGTCCATACCTAATCATGAAAAACTCCATTCAGTCAAGAAAGATTCCTATGTCACAGTCAAATTAGAAGATAAGTAAATGTGAGTTTAGCGTTTTTGGTAATTTTTACAGGAGTTTAATGTTTTTTGTATTATTTCCAGGATTGTCCTGATATTCCCGCCATCCCGTAGAAACTCGGAGTAAGGAGCAGGCTAAGTGAGAAAATTAAGGCTATTTATGCTGCCAACAGTATTAGAGATCAGAATCATGCTGGAAAGGCCACTGTAGAAATAATCGGTAAGACAATTTAGATTAATAATATAGGTCTACACAATTTAACCAACATTCTGAATCACAATGTAGAAAAAACGTGTTTTGTTACATTACTGCTTTCTTAAATTTTAAATTGTTTTTGCTACTGTAGTTTAGTCATACTTTTTATTTGATTTTACTATTAGTTTTTATTACAATCAGTGTTGCCAACCTTTGAGAATTAAATTTCCCACAAAGAGGGTAAAAATTTCCCTTTTTTACGAAAATTTTCCCACGAATTTTAAAAATGATAAAGTTTATTTTGGCATGGATATTTTTTGTTTTCAGAAGAAAAATACAATATTTTGAGAAACGGAGAAATTTAAATTAAAAAAATGATAAATTTTTTTAAATCATTCATTTGATGAACTAGACATTACGAATTGCGTTTGTAAATAAAAACTAGTTTAATCTAACACTTTTTGTTTTATACAGCTCATAAAATAATACTTCACCCGCTTTTACAAAAATACTACACAGAAACTCAGGCCCACTTATTGTTAAAAATCGCACGGATAATTCGGTAAATCCCCGAGTATATTTCAAATTGTAAGCAGGGTTGCCGTTTTGCCAGTAATTGAATGTGAACCAGGAATTTACCAGTAAAAAACTTGAAAGTTAGAACGAAAATTTTTATGGCGTGAATTTCTGTAAAACTGTGATTCAACTTAGATAATTTAAGTGTGATGCGGAGTATATACACTGTATTTATAAATACCCTGCTAAAAAATAAAATTAAAAATAACTGCATTGTATGCAAACCAAAAGTATTCTGCCAGGAATACAACGTAATTTTTTTTCCAGTAATTTCCAGTAATAGATTTTAGTTAAGCCAGGAATTTAGCATTGGCCTTCCGGCAACGCTGATTGTAAGAAAAACTTGAAGCGTGCATAGAGCAGGAAAGCTATGACGCAAGTTTGTGACGATTCACATAGAGTATGTCCGGGATGTATCCTCATCACCAGTGACGTCACTATTAGGCCGCTGGTTTGTTGACTTTGGCTGTCCACAAACTTGATATGTTTAAGCTGTTATTTTTAAAAGAAAAAGTAGTACCTATTATAGGTATAATACTACTATAGTAAACATTTTTTCGGTAATTTTTTTTTCATGAATGTTGATTGGACTTTTTTTTCTAGTTGTTTTAGTTGAAAATTGATTGGACTTTACAATTTCCCACGAATACAGGATTTTATGTTAAAATTTCCCTTCTCCCTTTGGCACTTAAAATTTCCCACGAATCGGGAAATTTCCCACGAGTTGGCAACACTGATTACAATAAACCCTTGTAATGTCAAAACCAAAATGAAATTCAAGAAAGCAGCCATCTATTCGAAAATAGCTGAACTATTTAAAACTCCACCAAAATTTTTGTCTCGTTAGTTCAGCCATACTTAGATAGATGGCGCTGCTAATAACGTTGTGCTTGGGTAGGCAACCAAGATAAAATATATCTGTAATCTGATTGCCTACCTATTAACGCAGCGCCATCTATATGGCTAAACTTACGAGTTTTGGTAGCGTTATAATTGGTTCAGCTTTTTTCGAAGAGATGGCGCTGCGGTCTGTCACTTTGGTTTTGAGTTTAAACGTGACATTTTAAGTGTTTCTTGTAATAAATTGTTAAAAATTGATTAATAAGTAACTAAATAATTGTAAAAACAATAAAAATATTCATTTTTATTCAACTACTATGGCGCGCCGTTTTGCTATTTAATTTAAATTGAACAACTTTATGGTTGAATATAGTAAATGTTTTAATGTAACGTTAATTTTTACAATAGTCTGCTTGTTTTTAAATATATCGTTATATATGTTGCAAAAATTAACGCAACACTTTAAGAGCAAGAAAGTTATTTTGACAATTCATTTAATAAATTTATCAGATATTTAACGAAACTCCAAAAATTAATTTAAACAAAGAAAGTCTACAAAAATAGATGTGTTCTCTAATGCAAAAATTAAATAAAATTTTAGCGACAACTTATAACTTGGTTTTGGTAACACTCGACTATTGCAAGAATTAATTCTTACAATAGGCAGGTATTGTAAAAATAAAAACAATTGTTCAAATACCAATATTTTAAGATTAATTATTGCAACACTCATATATTGTACAAAATATTTTTTGCAACACTTATGTATTGCTATAATTAAAACAACTATGATTATTTATTACAATTTTCATTGTCGTATATTGAAACAATTGCTAAAAACACATTTGAATTTTTACAATACCCGAGTATTGTAATAAATGTGGTAGACCTGTGTTGCATAAAATAATTCCCCCATAATTCCCTAAACAAAATTGGAACAACACTTATGTTGGCAATGCTGATAATCGACCATGCATCTTGTTAAAAATGGTAAACATAACCTTACTATTTCCAACGTGCGATATTGAGGTTAGCTAGGAAAACTGCGAACTAAAAATGGTTAAAAGACTACGAAAGTGTTGTGGTCAGAGGTGCAGTGATAAAACAATCTGTACAGATATACTAACAAAATATACTTATTATAATTATGTAAAAATAAAAACAATTGTTCAAATACCAATATTTTAAGATTAATTATTGCAACACTCATATATTGTACAAAATATTTTTTGCAACACTTATGTATTGCTATAATTAAAACAACTATGATTATTTATTACAATTTTCATTGTCGTATATTGAAACAATTGCTAAAAACACATTTGAATTTTTACAATACCCGAGTATTGTAATAAATGTGGTAGACCTGTGTTGCATAAAATAATTCCCCCATAATTCCCTAAACAAAATTGGAACAACACTTATGTTGGCAATGCTGATAATCGACCATGCATCTTGTTAAAAATGGTAAACATAACCTTACTATTTCCAACGTGCGATATTGAGGTTAGCTAGGAAAACTGCGAACTAAAAATGGTTAAAAGACTACGAAAGTGTTGTGGTCAGAGGTGCAGTGATAAAACAATCTGTACAGATATACTAACAAAATATACTTATTATACAATATCACACTTATGCTTGCTGTATGTTATATTACATAACTACACAAGGACCAGCCTTGAGACAAGGTCTAATTTAATGATTTTCCTGCAAGTTTTTAGGCATCAGTTAATAATAATTTTAGCTGGCTCAATTACCCTTAACAAAAATTATCATGAAGATAATATCCATGTAAGAACTAGTAGGTTCGACAATACCTATAGATACCAAAAAATTCTTAATATTTTTATCTGGAACAACTGCAATGATAGTACAAATACTTTTACAAATACTTTTAACCAAATTAACATGATTTGCGAAGTCGCAAAACCTGGTGAACATAGACTTCGTAGACTACATTACGTAGTCACAAATTAATTTTTCCCCCTTTTTTAAGAACCATTAAATACGCTAATAAGAAAAACTAATAAATTGGATATCTAGGTTTTTATTAAACGCAAAAATACAAAGTGTATGTATTAAGTAGGTACTTAATTTTTAATAAATATTTATTTGTTATTATTTCATTATTTCCGGAAAAATTTACTTTTTGACCATTAAAATATACCTACTTAATTTAATTATAAAAGTCATACACAGTAATTTAATAATTAAATAATTTTTTTTATTACCAATGATTTTTAAACCAATTTATTTGTAAAAGTTTATAAATTGTTATTAATTTGGAAATGTTAGAATACTTAAATTATTCAGTTATTGGTTTTTAACATTGCTTTAAAAGAGAGTTTAAATAGTAAAACTCCCTTCAATAGAATTCTGTAAATTTTCAAGTATATCTACCCAGGAAATTTAAATTAATTTTAATATAATTATTTATAGCAAATGTGGTTTGAAAAACAAGTAATATTTTAAAACAGTATATTATATGGATTATTAACAAATAAAAACCATAACAATAAATTATTTAACAGTTAATTATATGGTTTATTCTATAAACCATATGCTAAACCATAAGCTATAAACTTTATAGCTTTGGTGATAAAAAACATCTAGTAAAATTATAGAACATTAACAATTAACTAAAGAATAACAATACATTATTTAACGGTTAAATTTTAACCCTTTGTGGCTGAACCTATTTTTTTAAATTTATTATACAGGGTGTTTAGTTTATTATCGCATAACTTTAACACACAGAATCTGTGATTTGTAGGCAAGGACAACAGGAAACTCTTCTCTTTTGTTTACTTTTTTGATTTTCTTAACTTTCAAAACTGGACTACCATCTTTGGGTGTT